GTTAGAACACCACCAGTCAACGTGACAGTCACTCTAATCGATAGCTCATCCATGCCAGCCAGCTTCGTTCTCTCTTTTTCTGGTGTAATGTCGCATTTTCTGACAGGTTCTGTGCCACAAACGGTTACTGGAAATAGCTATGCAGCTCGACGATAGTTGAATCACTGCCGAGGTCCGTATGCAGTAGCTACAGAATGATTTTGCTCCTCAGTCAGCCTGAGCCAGGGCGGCTGATGCTTGGCCCACACGTGTCGAGCACGCAGCTGGAGGAGAGCAATTATGCTAGACTGACAAGACATTTCGAACATGGTTTGCCTGGATGTCCAACTCCAAGGAAGAAACATCACGAGATCAAGAATGATCCAGGGCCATTCTTCTCCTGTCGGAATGGGCTATCGGCAAGAAAAATCGAAGAACAGTTACATCATGGTAAATTACTAAATAACGACACCAAACCCACGGCCAGTGTCGCCTATAGCTAGCGCCTGTCGGCCACCCGGTACGCGGTATACCTAGCCCTGCACGTGTACCACGTGTACGTATGCGTGATAGAGGTCGCGTGCGCACGCCGCACGTGCAGACTCGACGGTGTCAATGATTATGACTGTTGTTTTCATTTCTTTACTTTTGAAAAAATCCATTCGCCTTCGCGGCCACCATCCCGTCCTGATTATTGTAGCCTTGTAGGGGCTTGTTGCAGTTGTAAATGAGGACCAGCCAGCGTTCCTAGTTTTCAAGTTAGTTAGTTTGTTAGCAACCAATTCCAGATCATGGTACTTTCCAGTAGTGGTAATACTGAGACAAACGTTCCTAACCAGTAAACGGCACGGTGTTGTCAGTGCTGCAGAAGTAATAAGTAACTAGTTACCGGTAGCGGCGGTACTCGATACGTTACAGAGTACTGCACTCACCACCTGGGGAAAGGCATTTTGACCAGAACAGAAGTGCATTTACACTCATTGTCCGGATTCCGCCACGACCCATTCTACATTTTAGATCGCTACTTCCTCGCACCCGTAGTGTTGTTCGCTAAGCTTGAATTGAGTCAGCTAGCGTTCAGCAGTCATGGATCTGCGAACACGCAGCAGCGCCGCTAGTAGTAGACGGGCAGATGCTGACAGTGCAGCGGATGCGGGCCGGACCTCTTCTTCCCGTGTGGACGACACGAGACGATCGAGCTCCCATCAGCCCCGAGCTGGAAGGTCAGCAGCGGGCCAGCGGCGCAGTCGACTACTGAGTAGTCCCTGCACGCACTGACCTTATGCACAAGTACTACAGTCCATTTCAAAACTATAGACGCGTCTACCTAGGCAAAAACCGTTATGCCAGCATCTATACCACATAAAATCTGTGATCACTTTGTGCATATTTTTTCCAAATTGGGCGTCTGTTGTCCAATCGTTTAGAAACTATATGAGAGTAATTGTGGAGCGGTCCTGAGCAATATTCCGAAAACTATTCTCAAAAAGTCCCAGCCAAATTTGAAATATTTCAAAAACCCTACGCGTCTATAGTTTTGAAATGGACTGTAGTACATGTAAAATGGAAAAGCATGAACCACACAAAGCGACATATTTCGGTATTGATTTTTGCGGTTCAAATAATTTCCTAATTTTAAACCGTGATCGTTACGGAATTATTAAATTTTCATTGCTCAGCCAACTGTCAAACATTTTCCAAATGCTGCGGGTTCAACCCATTCTCATCCGTGGATGCACGGGACTGAAAGAAAGTCAGAATCGTAAAACAAAATGTCCGCAGGAAAAAAAAACAGTGCAAGGTCCCTCGTAGGGGTGCAGAGGCAGCATGTCAATACGCTGAAACTCTTTTCCCTATTTGACAAGGGGTGCTACTCTACTGACCCAGAGACGCATGTCTGTATATGTCTTGTTGTCTGCAACCTTGCCCGGCATCTTTTCTCTCTCCTAGTCCTGCATACTGTGAAAGTGGCAAATTGGTGACGGGTGTCTTTGCATGGAATGGAATCTGCGCATCCGACAGCCAGAGGAGAGCGGAGTTAGCAGAAGTGCACCTAGGAAATGTTTTTTTCTATGCTCGGCATGAACGCAGTCTTGTACTGATCCACACATTGTTCTTGTCTGTGTGTGTGCATTTGAACATGCTCAGAGACTGCTCAAAACCCTGGTTTTGTTGCTTGCTACTAGCAATGGTCATCATGCTCCTAGTCGTGTACACAGTGTGCATCAGCGTATTCTCCGACTTCCAGCTGTACCCGATTGATGCCAGGTAACAGTCAATTGTACATGTGTGTGTGTGTGTGTGTGTGTGTGTGTGTGTGCGTGTGTGTGTTTGTGCATGTGTTTGTGTGTGCTTGTGCACATGTATGTGTGCTCGTGTGTGTGTGTGTGTGTGTGTGTGTGTATTTGTGAACTGGACAAGACCCGGCCACGGCACGGGCCCCGGAAGCGGTGGCGGGACAATGTTGTGTCCGACATGAAGGACCGCCAGATAGTGGACTGGTACGACCTCGCCCAGGTCGCAGAGAGTGGAGATCAGCATGCAACACCATTCCTCCGACCGAGCCCGTCACCTTAGACTTCGTTTGCACTTGTGGAAAGCTCTATCGCCGTCGCCAGGACTTGACTCGCCACGCTCGATTCTGTTCGTGACTTGAACACTGTTGGTCCCTCCGGGACCTGCTATCATATTCGGATGGACATGTTGTATGTATATAATACAACCCAACGTTACGCTTGTACGTGAAATATAAACCGACATACAAACCGAGGCGAAGCCGAGGTTTGTATGTCGGTTTATATTTCACGTACAAGTGTACTAGTGGGATGTATTATACTTATGCTGACCTTCATACAAACTGACAGTCAACTTCTTCCTGTTTCTATGGTGGCGGTCTATATGGGGTTTGTATGGGGTTTGTATGAGATTTATATGCCCAGTATAAGCCGTCAGCATGATGGGCAAGTTGACTGGAAGTTTGTATGAAAGGTCAGCACGTGTATACATGTACTGTATTTTGGGATAGTTATTTCGCGAAGGTCCCTGGACCTGGGTTCGAGTCCTGGCGGTGAGGTAGTGTAAGAACAATGATGGCATTGTCGATAGTGATAATGATGTCATACTCAATGGTGATGATGTCATAGTTCAATGGTGATGAAGATGTCGTAATCATGCAGTGTGACAATGCCTCTGCTGTGCGGTGTGTGGTGTTTGTCTGCAGCTTACCAGACGCACCACCACTGACGGGCACACTGTCTCCAAACTTTGCGGAGTCTATCGCCGACGCTGAGCTTCTCTTTGCCGACGTTTTGAACGGGGCTGAGTGTTTGGAGTGGGATGAAATGGGTACGTTGGTAGTAAGTGGATATCGGAAGAAAGCAGGTCTGGTGTTTAGATCACGTGAAAGACTATGTCATGTGCGGTATGAGTCGCCATTGTTTTCACTAATCGGCGTGGGAACTGGCTCCTAGTATATTTTACTCTGTATATAGAGCTGTTCCACACCTACCACATGACCATACAGGACAGCCATGTTGGTTACAACTCCAAGCTCCAAGCTCCAAGCTAGCGGTATCTGCAGATATTTCTATACTTCTAGAGAATGTGGTGACGTAAACAAGCGTTTCGGAGACAGCAGTTTTAATGTAGCTACAAGGAGGACTACTGGTACTCAGGGCCGGCGCCACTGGTACGGCCGGTTTGGCCATGGTCCGACCAACTTCCCAAAAAGTCGGTCCACGTGGAACGTCCGAAACCGGGGAGAAAAGGTTCCGATGTAGGATTTTGTACAGGGAGTCGCCCAGAGTGCAAGATTTGCATCTAAATTCCAAACACGTTATGGGGGAGGACCCCAGACCCCCCTTAAAGATGGCCCTTCGGCCGCACCACTCCGCGGAAGCTGCCTCCGGCCCTGGTACTGTAAGCATTTCCTCAGTACAAGTAGTCCTCCTTGTAGCTATATTAAAAGTGGTGACGGACAAATTTATTTCTTTGTCATTTCTTTGTCCATCACCGCTTTTCTAGTTTTTTGTCGGCATCACCACTTTCTCTAGAATTTGTTCAAGACATCTCAATGAAACTTTCATAAAACTTAATGACGCTTCAGCTGGTTCTATGTATTGCAATCTTTGCTAATACTTCTTGTGCGTTGCCTTTCCAGCAGCTCTGAACTCTGTTGGGTTCATAATACTAAGGGTTCATCTGGGTTTTTCTGAGCTATTCTTTGTACGCATGGCGGTGTGTTTGTGTGTGTGTGTGTGTGTGTGTGTGTGTGTGTGTGTGTGTATCTGTGTTGCTAGTTCGGTTGGTGGGTACACTTATGCCGGATAGTGTTGGGTCTGTTGCCAACGGGCTCGGCTGCTTGAAGCCTGGTGTAATGTTGTACCTACCACCTTTGTTGGTTTCAGGGTTCATATACTTTCTATTTGAAGTATACATACCTGTTAACCATGGACTACTTCTGGCTAGATTAACTCTTGTGTAATCATGGTGCTAGTGAAGCTTATATCAGATCCACTCTGATTTAGCCACCCACACTAGTAGCAAGTATTACCTTCACTGGGGGCAGGGGTAACTGCAGTTGGATCCCGGGACGGATACCCTGATGCCGTCAATCTTTTTTCTGCACCTTGTCCTCACCCACTTACTGAGGTGTGGTGAGCCCATAAGTGGGATCATTTTCAAGTCCACCCAGAGTTTTGGGGATTTCAGGGGGTGTCGGCCGTTGGGCGGTTCAATAGCCAATTGAGTCATCTTTCCAAGATTCCTTTTGAGTCTCTTTCCCCTCTCCCGGGGAGACCCACGTGACCAGTTTTGGCAGTGAGCAACAAGTAAGTACAAGTACAATCTGTGTGTGTGTGTGTGTGTGTGTGTATGCCTGTGTGTGTGTGTGTGTGTGTGTGTGTGTGTGTGTGTGTGTGTGTGTGTGTGTGTGTCGTTTGCACTTGTAGGTACACTGTACACAGGAACAGTGAATGGAGAGATCTGGCAGTTGTCCTCTGGCCAGGGGCAGAAACCATCATTAGTCGCCAGTACTGGATCAATAATGTGTGGTAAGGAAGAGGTGGAGTTGAAGGGAGAGAGAGAGAGAGAGAGAGAGAGAGAGAGAGAGAGAGAGAGAGAGAGAGAGAGAGAGAGAGAGAGAGAGAGAGAGAGGGAGAGAGGGAACCGGATAATGGGACACACATACTGTATGTATGCATGACATATGCTGTAAATCGGTAACCAACAATTTTCTTCCGGATGGCGAGGGATCCGGATAAAAGAGGATCGGATAAGCGAGGTCTGACTGTAACTGGTTTGAGGGAAAGACACAAACGGGAGAAGTCTGAATAAAAAATTGACTGTCGCCACTAGGACTCGAACCAGGGACCCTCGCTTGTAGCCAGCGATGCTCTAACCACAGAGCCATGGTGTAGTCGTCATTCCAGCAGAGACCGTTCCACATTTTCTTCAGACTTCATATATGAGCCGCGACACGACTCGTTTGAAAGTTGAGCATGCAATATCGAGAGTGCACATTTTCTTTTTGAATTCGATTAGTTTTCGTTGTGATTTATCAAGCTTTTTGAATGCGTTTTTTTGCAACAGAAGCAGTGAGAATTCAGCCATTGCGCTCTATCCATAACTCAGTTTGTGAAATTTTTGCCATAAGCACCCTTTTGTCATGGTGCGGCTCATATGCTGACATAGTCCTCGATCTGCGGACAGAACTGTTTCGTCCTTTGCGAACTCATCAGCGCAGCACAGAGGAAATGAGGCCGAACCTGATAGCAATGAAACATAAATTTTCCGAAGCCAGATTTAAACCAGGCCCGACGTATATATTCTGCAAGATGGCTGCTCTGTTTGTGTTTATTTGCACATTGTTCCTACCAGACTCGACCTTGGAGCGACCCAAGCGCGAGTGTGGACGTCCACTGGGTGTACGTGTCACGTCGCATGATTCACTGCTTGTTGCCGACGGGTTTGGAGGTCTGCTGAATGTCTCCCTGAGCGACGGCACTGTGAGAGTTCTAATCCGTAACGAGAAGTCTGAGGTAAGAGAATTCTTTCTTGTATTATTTTTTCTGTTTTGTTTTTCATTCACAAAAATGGTGCGTGTGTGCATGTGTGTTACGTGTATGCGTGCGCGCACGTGTGTCACATTCTCCTACTTCATTCTTGCATTCAGCTCGTCAGCGGTAAGCCATTGCTACTTGCAAATGATCTGGTGGTGGCACCGGATGGCATGGTGTACATTACCGACTCGTCGTCCAAATTTGGCAATGACAAGCTGCTGTATGACTTAGTGGAGGGTGCGCCCAACGGCAGAGTCGTACGCTATGATCCCGTGACAGGTATGCTGTTTGGTTGTCATGCCATGCTGGTGGTTGCCATGCAATGCTGGTGGTTGTCATGCTATGTCGGTTGGTTGCCATGCTATGTCGGTCGGTGGGCATGGTATTTGTTGCAAAGAAGGATCCACGAGCTAAATTGGGGCTAAATTGGTCAAATGCGGATGTATAGCATGCAATGAGCACCCAACCGTGCACGTACACACCTACGGAAATCCATACACCTGTACGAGATGATGTAATGCCAGTAATGTGCATAAGGATTATGTACGAGATGATGTAATGTGCAGATGGACTATGGACGAGATGACGTGATGTGCATAAGGACTATGGACGAGATGATGTAATGTGCAGATGGACTATGGACGAGATGACGTGATGTGCATAAGGACTATGGACGAGATGATGTAATGTGGCAAATGTGCATAAGGACTATGGACGAGATGATGTAATGTGCATAGGACTATGGACGAGCTGCAAATGCGGCTTGACGCACACATGTACGAATACAGTGATGCATTCGGAATTGGTCCAGGGCGTCAGTTTTACACTTTGGGTTGAACATCAGCGATGTGCTGTGCGAACGCGAAGTAACTTGAGCTCATCATGTACAGTGTGCGGTCCGAAATGCAAAAGTGCGCGACGTATTGCCATTAGACTGTACATTCAACTTCGCCAATAACGACATTCGGCGGGGCATCAGAAAAGTGTCCTTATTCGCGAAGTGTCCTTATAACCGAAGTCCCATTTGAATGTATGTGAACCCATATTTTGTATAGTATGACATGCATATCAAAATCAAGCTCTTTTCTTGCTCTATGTCATTGTGTACTTAATTTTCATATTGCAGTTGAAAGGAACTAAAAATTCAATATGCAAGGGAAATCAATTGAAAAGTATGCCTTTTTGAGCCATCTACAGGGCCAGAGACATGTACATTGTACATGTATGATGATTACTGTACAATCATGTACAACTACATGTACATTGTATACATATAGGTGTGCTGGTAAATCCAACAATTTTGAAGCCAACATAAAAAGGAAGAAAAAGCCCCCCCCCCCCTTGGCTGCATTTTCTTGCATGTGTGCCTTTATAATAATATCCATCACCATACATGTAGGTTCTGGTACCGTTCTGCATGCATGACAGGTACATGTACATGTACTTGACTGACCGGTACTTGAAATAGCTGTCAAAAGCCCAGAAAGTCGTTATTCAAGCAGTGAATATGACCTCGGGGCACTAAAAGCATGTCGCTATACGCGAATTGTCGTTATTCAGATAGTCGTTATATCCGAAGTAAAATGTATACAGTTAGATGGGACTTTGCTCTGGGCATGGAAATTCGGTCGTTATTCGCGAATTGTCGTTATATCCGCAGTCGTTATTAGCGAAGTTGACTGTATACATAATTATGATGTCTGTCAGCTGTGCGTTTGTCTTGACTTCTCTTTGTGCTGCTACCGTATGTGTATGTGTGTGTATGTGTGTATGTGCGTGTGTGTTTGGATACGTGCGTGTTTGCATGTGTTAGGTGTTGCGAATACGTTTGTGGACAAGCTTCACTTTCCGAACGGCATTGAGCTGAGCCAGGATGGTCAGAGTATCCTGGTTGTGGAGACCACCAAAGCAAGAGTTATCAGGTTAGTGGGATGTCCCTTATTATCGATATTTTACACGAAGAGAAAAAGTTTAGTTTATGGATGGGTGGGTCAAGGAGAGTTTCGTTTTGAAAAATATTGATATTGGAGACATCAAGGCATTCTTGCTGTCAAGTCAATCTATCTTTCGTTCGGGGGGGGGGGGGGGGGGGGAATGTCCTCACTAAACTTTTTCGTTTCATGAAAATTATCGATAATGCCGGATGGCCCCTGATAGTGGGACACAAGCATGAGTTATCAGGTTAGTGGGGTACAAGCGAGATCGGTGCGTGTGCTTGCTGCGCCCGTACATTGCATTGTTGTGTGGAAAGGCAATAGTGGAACATGGCAAATAGGTGAACTGTTCGCAGCCCCCCCCCCCCACATTTCTTTCCTGGCTAGAGCCCTGAACGTGTGTTTGTGTGTGCACGTGTGCGCGTACACGTATACGCGCGTGTGTGCGGCTGCATGTGCGTTTGCGGAGGAAGGGAGGGAAGGAGAGAAGCACTGAGTGGCGTTTTTTCTTGTGGGTTTCTTTTTGTTTGCTTTCAGGATCTTCATCTCCGGAGAGCGCACTGGCCAGTCGGAGGTGATGCTTCCAGCGACGCCGGGTTTCCCCGACAACATCCGTCGCCATCCCAACGGTGGTTACCTGATTGGCATGTCAGGTGCACGCACTGCACTGGTCACATTCTTGGAAAACAAGCCCTGGATCAGAAAGTTCTTAGTCAGTGTGAGTTGTACGTGGCACATCGCTAAACTCTCGCATACAGACAATGCCTGAAATGCAAAAAAATTAACCCGATGAAACTCGAATGTTGAGCCAATAGAGAGTTTCTGCCACACGGTAGAACGTACCAAGGTACGTATGGAAACCTCATCGCGGGACGAAAACTGAGCGCACAGAGTACATGTGGCGGGAAGTTCGAGCATGCTACGCGCAGCAAAACCGGCGCAACGTACGAAAAGTCCGTGTCAAACTTCACTGCAGTTGACACGGAGTTTGGTACGTGGTTCTGTGTAGCAGAAACTCACTAATGTTGAGCCAATGTTGATGTTTGTACAGTAAAACCTGAAATGGCGACCACTCGACCATGGCGACCACTTTTCCTTGTCACCGACGCATTCACATTCGAAACAGCTTGGATAAGGCGACCACTCGCTCAACGCGACCGACGACCACCCACCCGCGACCGCGTTGCACAGTGCTCGTACATGTAAATGTATGCATTGCATGGTGCACCATGCATGGTAGATCTACACATCAGTGCAGGAAGTGTAGATACGCATGGTGCATGCACGGCACTTGACAGGTCTGAGGACCCCAGGCACATGAGTCGTGCTAGCCTAGAGTAGCATAGGTGTGTGCAGTGTGATACACTGATCAAAATGATGTATCACATGTGGATATGGTCACGTGACCCACTGAACCTGGATAAGAAGACCACCTGGCCACGGCGACCACTTTTTCTCGTCCCTTGAATGGTGGCCTCAGGCAGGTTTCACTGTAACTTGAATGCTTCAAAAATCGGTCAGCAAAGGAATGCACTCCACTATGCGTGCGCTCTTGAGCGTGTTATAAAGCAGCCATACCATTCGGTTTACGTAGTGGCACGCAAAACAATAGACCAATCCCGAAAAGATTGTCTGGGTTCGAAAGGGGGCATGTCAACTGAGAGTACACTGTACAACACATACATGGCACTACCTGATCAGCATGCGGCACAGGACGTGTTTGATAGTTCGCGTGTGAATGCGAGGGTAAGTACACGGTTTTCTCGTTAGTTGCATGCAAGAGAGACGATGCGACAGAAAGCAAAGCCGTTTGTAGTTTTCTCTCTCGCACTGGTAATGGTCTGCTGTTGGAGTTGAAATGCTAAGACATAATCCTTGTTTCGCTCTTCTGTGTAGTGTGAAGAGGTCAACGAACATGTAGAGCTCACTTTGATGAAGTAGGCAAGGCTGTGAGCGCTGTGGCTCAAAGCGATAGGCCCTAAATCTTACGAGATATTTCGAGTGCTATTGTTTGTTGCGAGCGCTTCGTCTTCGATGAGTTCTGCCTCTTTCCTGGCAGCTGCCCTCCTATAGAACCAACCACGAAGTGACTGTACTCATCTGCAGCCGATCAGTGTTATATTGTACAAGAAGATATCGTTTTCGCCAAGCCAGTGCCCCGCCAAAGACCATCGCCGTGTCACACCGTCGGAACGAGTTCATGATGAGAAACATCATTCGCGCGAGCGTGATGAAGAACTATTTCGAAAGACAGCATAGTCTTTACCCCCGAGACGACAACTATGCGCACGTCCTGCAAGGGGAGAATGTCACCAGCGACATCAACGAAGACGACGGCAGTATTTCGGAAACCTGGAGTCAGCGGAGGTCGTCAAGCTCCTCCGCGACCCGGTACATGTACAAGACATGTCGACACGAGCGTGCGGAAACACAGCATACACTGTAGTAATGTTGCGGGAGTTTGCGGAAGGAGTCCAAGCTGTCGGGAAATCCATCAGCTCCAAAAGCTACCTGTAGGTGGGCGATGAGAGTCCAGCTTCAGACTACAACAGTCAGGACTTGTAAAATTAATAGTTGAACTTTGTGAAGCGGCAGATCGAGTTAGTTAGCTGAAATCGTAGCCTGTTGCAGTATGTCGGCGCTATGTAGCTTGCATTTTTTACGGAGAGTCCATCGCCACGCGAATGTTTCTCTCCTCACCGAGAGCTTGCTGGCCTCCAAACTCCGTCAGGGTCTGCCTAAGGTACCGAAGGTCCTTTGACTAGCTGCTGGCAGGACTCCATCAAATCCTTTAGCTTCAGCTCGGCGAGCAAAAGTCTCTCTCTCCTCCGCCATGAGCTGACACACACAAACTGAATACAAAACGATGCACTTCACACGTGCTGGCTTGCACGCGTGCCCCCTTTCACGAACCCAGACAATCTTTTCGGGATTGGTCTATTGTAACGTGTTTTCTTTCATGCTCTCTCTCTCTCTCTCCATCTCTGTCTGTCTGTCTGTCTGCCTGTCTGTCTCTCTCTGTCTCTCTATCTCTCTCTGTCTCTCTCTGTCCCTCACACTCATTCCCCCCCCCCCCCCCCATCTCTCTGCAGATCATGCCCTACAAAGTGTTGTTGAGCCTGAGCAAGCCCTACAGTCTGTGTGTCCACGTGTCTGAGAGCGGCGACTACCTATCCAGCTGGCATGATGCCACTGCCAGCAAGCTGGGACACACAGCGCACTGTGCAGTGCATGACGGCCACCTCTACGTGGGCTCCTTCGAGAAGCGGGGCATAGCCAAGCTCAAGCTGAGGGTGTGAAAACACCGAGCGGTTATACGGTTAAGTACCGTTGACCCCCCCCCCCCCCCCCCTGCCCCTCACGCCGTGCCGCTTCCCAGCTGGTTTTCGACAGGGGGCGGGAATTAACATTAGATCAAGTCGCTCAAGTGCAGTACGATGTACAATCGGCACTTTGGCGGTCCGAGCATTGACAAAATAGTACTTAAAATTGTATTCGACTTGAAAAGTAATGGTAGGAAAGGCCTAGTCGAAACTATAATTATGGTATCTGTGTTTCGTGTGCTGATTTGCTTTTCTCCAACCAAGAATCTATTCTTTTATTTATTTTAAATCGAGGTTTCTGGTTTGGTTTCTCAGACTTTCTCTAATGAAATTACAGTAATTTGACCTACACTGAAAACGACGCATTGTACAGTACACACCGTACAGCGTATATACTAGGGTTGTTGTCTCTGCATTACAGGGAGCCGACTGCATCCTACTTCATCACAAGACGCGCGTGTGTGTGTGTGTGTGTGTGTGTGTGTGTGTGTGTGTGTGTGTGTGTGTGTGTGTGTGTGCATGGTGTGCATGGTGTGTGTGTGTGTGTGCGTGTGTGTGTGCGTGTGCGTGTAGGGATTCACTGGCCAGAAAAAGTCACTTCAAATAGCTGTATGGTGTAGACCAGGCTGAATAGTGACGGTCAATTCTTCAGCCTTGCAAGCTGTTGAATGGTGCAATCCCGGCACAAATTGCTATGGCTTCTGTCGTAGCATTGCTATCATCGCCTCCGGCGATGGGCGTCAAAAAGGTGTGTGCGTGTGTGTGCGCGAGAGCGAGCGAGCGGCCGTGCGGGCACATTTGACTGTCTCCTGCACATGTGTACATAAATTACGAGAGAATGGGCTCAGCTGTCTCACTTTCACACCGTCCCCCCACACTCTCTTGTTCCATCTGTGGCTTGACCAGCAGGACACGTTTCGCCGGGTCTAGCACACCGAGACGGGTGACTGATCGTCTGCATGGTGACGCTCCACAGTCCACACCTGAACTTGCCATGCAATCATGTGACTTGTAAGAGTTTGTTTACGTTAGGTCCGAAGTCGAACCCCTACGGCCGTGGGTATGGAGCTGTTGCACATCTATCACGTGACTATACACACCAGCCATGTTGGTTCCAGCACCGCTCAACCTCTGCATCAGGGAGTCGTAAATTACCGGTATTTTACGACTCCCTGCTATGCATTTATGGGTCACATGATGTTGGCCATGTTGGTTCCAACTCCAGTAAACTCCAGCATGAACTACAGAGTCACATAATAGGGCTTGAAAGTGCTACGTCACAGCATAGTAGCAACAATTTCAAAAATTCAAAAACTGGATCCACTTGGATCCAGTTTTTGTATGGATCCAAGCACTTTTCAAGCGGTCTTACTCACAGCAAGGTGATGTAGCCAGTGAAACTGACTGATTTGGCTAATGGGGGCGGGGTGACACCTGGTGGCGAAGTAAAAGTCACACATGCATACGACATGAGTGGGTTGCTATGCACCCACATACTGAGGCAATAGCAAAGTCACACCTTAGTGGATCCAAAATAGAAATCTGATGTCAACTTACTACTCCCTGGCCGTTTTTGACGTCATCACTTTCAAGCCCTATGCGGGGCATGTTGGTTCCAACTCCACTCAACCCATGCATCTATGGGTCACATGGTGTCGGCCATGTCGGTTCCACTGTCCGCTTTTTACACAAATTTATTTTAGTAATGCTTTCATAGTAGGCAATTCACTTTAATAGTAGCCACAAGAAAACTTCAAAACGGGCTGCAGCAAGCCAGTAGCTGTCCGCACAGCGGAGGAGCTGATAAAAAAAACTGGGTGCGCACATGCAATATTATAGGCTGGGTGTAGAAAGGACGAAGAGCAAGAAAAGGCATACACATAGAATCGAGCTGCTATGATTCAGTTGCAAATCAGTGAACTGTGAGTGAAAACTAGTTTAGATCTCAGGTCAAAAAACAATGTCACGTGATGAAAAGTTTAAAAAAAACGTGTCGTCGAGTAACTGAACTAGTGTCACAATTGTAACTACTGTATATAAACCACCACCTCATAAAAGATAGATCTGACCAGCAAACTCGAAAACAATGTAAGCAGAAACATGCCATGCCCGTCTGAAGACTTGATAGACAAAACACAGAACATCACAAGTCACAGCGCTGTACACATTAACGCAGAGCATCACAAAAACGCAGCGCACGCAATAACGCAGACGGACGAGGGCATTTTCGCTGTCCAGCAGGCTATTGGATATCTATTGGATAGTGGTCACCATGACGATAGTACAAGCATCGCCAGCGACAACAGTAGCAGCAGCACGGACGTGGAAAGATGAAAATAGCTTTCTCTAACAATCTGCGAGAAGATATCTGATGAATGATGATGATGATGATGAAGAATGGAACAGAAAATCTATTCTGAATGATACACATTCAGTCATTTCGAACAAGAAAGTTGCACTTTGCGTGGTGATAGTTGCACGTTGCGTGGTGAAGTCTGCAGCTTGCATTCTATTCATAGCTTTAGAAGTTTTCTCCCCGGAGGAAGCCAGGTGGCAGGCTTGATTTCAGAGCATGTCTTGTTCCAATCCGGTGTGTGTGCTACAGAACGGCTGGTCGCGAAAGAACTGGGTGTCATGCTCCTAGCCTAGACCATTTCTATCTTCATGTACTACAAATTTACAATAAAAAATGTCGTTCCACCAACCCGTTGTCTGTTGTGTCTGCGAGCCTCACCCATTAGAATCTCAACACAGTCCATGCACAGTCACCATGTACGCTGTATGCTATGCTTGATGAAATTCTAGCCTGGTCGGTCTTCGGCGGCCCGACGGACTCGCCTCACTTGCCGGGTTTCCTCTTGACGTGGCTGTGGCGCAGCTTGACGCGAGACAGAGCACTGTCAGGTTTGCGCGACGTGAAGTACATGTAATCACCGTGCACACGACACTGCAGCACAGCCGACACCACACGACCGCGCGACGCGTGCCAGCTGTCGACGATGTCACCGCCCAGGTCGGGTGACTCATCGATGACGTCATCGCCCTGGTTGGATGACTCATCTTGGTGTGCAGCTGTTGATGTGTCGGTGATATGAACGCACAGATTGTAATCATCCTGGAAGCGGAGCAGCACAGACTTGGGGAGCAGCTGCATAATACACACACGCACACACACACACACGCACGCACACACCCACGCACACACGCACGCACACACACACACACGCACCTGACCTGTCCTGTAGAGCCACTACCACTAGGGTCACGTGTGCCCCGGAGGGGAAGCAGAGAGAGAGAGAAAGAGCACGCCACCCGATGGCGCTCCAGATGCGAGACTAGTCGGAACCGGCGAGAGCACACACGCCAACATCAATGCAAAAGAAGAACAGGGATACTAGCAGTACAGTGGAACTCGTGCACAACAACCTCAGCTACAATGCAACAACCACTCGCTAATAACCATCTTGGGGTATAACAACCACTCGCTAATAACCATCTGGGGGTATAACAACCACTCGCTAATAACCATCTGGGGGTATAACAACCACTCGCTAATAACCATCTGGGGGTATAACAACCACTCGCTAATAACCATCTGGGGGTATAACAACCACTCGCTAATAACCATCTGGGGGTATAACAACCACTCGCTAATAACCATCTGGGGGTATAACAACCACTCGCTAATAACCATCTGGGGGTATAACAACCACTCGCTAATAACCATCTGGGGGTATAACAACCACTCGCTAATAACCATCTCGGGGTATAACAACCACTCGCTAATAACCATCTGGGGGTATAACAACCACTCGCTAATAACCATCTGGGGGTATAACAACCACTCGCTAATAACCATCTGGGGGTATAACAACCACTCGCTAATAACCATCTCGGGGTAAGACAACCACTCGCTAATAACCATCTCGGGGTATAACAACCACTCGCTAATAACCATCTGGGGGTATAACAACTCAGGAATAACAACACAGTCTTCAGACCTAGTGACTACCCGACTGCATATCCTCACTAAACTTTCTCATTCAGAGAAAAATATGGATAAGGCCATGGTAAAAAATAAAGTTGATTCTCAGGTCATGAGCCTGTGAAAATCGGTGCGAGCGAGCGATTTTTTATTTTATTTCCCACAAATGTTTTATTTCCAAAGACAGGGTCACACATATGTACGTCACAGGTTCATATAATTATTCTATTATTCAGGCCAGGGAGTAGAAAAATACCGGTATTTTACTACTCCCTGATTCATGCCTTTCGCATTGACCGTTTTCATGTGCGCATATGCATGCATAGAAATAAAAAAATCGTCGGTGCGCCGCCAAAAATCGGTGCGCGCGTACTTGAGAATCAAAGATAATTTTTACCATGGCCTAATGGCGGATGGCCCCTAGGCGTAGAAATTACTGTACCCCCCACCGTATGCTCATACAGCTGTGATACATGGTAACGATCATGAACTGGTGCCACTGACTCATGTTCCAGTATACAGCAAAACCTGTAAGTAAAGACCACCATGACTAGCGACCAGCCTGGTACTACAGACCACATCGCCAGCCACGGACGGTCTCACATTCATTATGGTTGTGCTGTGCAAACCTCTAACTAAGGACCACCTGCCACTGAAGACAGCTTTCTCTGGCCCCAAGGGGTGGTCGTTAGTCACAGGTTTTTACTGTACATGAATTACGACGACATACTGTAAGCAACACACACACCTTGTAGAGCACGCGCTTAAACCACTTGTTCTCCGCCATGTAGTCCACCATGGCGTTGCGCACCACTTCAATGCTGACCAGATGCCCTCCGCCATGACCAGGATGGGCTGTGATCACGTCTGGTAGACCGGGCATTGGGCCACTGGTCTTCACCACCTTGCCTGTTGCTAGGTTCAGCCTGTATGGATGGCATGGGAGCACACGTACACACATACACACATGTACACACACACGCACATGCATGTACACACACATGCATGTACACACACGTACACACAGAAACATATCGTTTTTTCCGGGATAATTCGATTGAAATCCGTACTGCGGACAAATTTTGGTTTTCGGTAAAAATACGGACAAATACGGGAGGTTGGCAACACTGCCAGTGTGGGTGGCTACACTCAGACAGAGAGAGACACACACACATACACGTCCTGTCCTGAACATTGCCGTTTCCGGTTACATGTACACACATGCACACCGCACGGGTCACGTACCACACGAGCCGTGCACGCGTCAATTCCGTGACGATCAGGTACCGTCCGTCCCTGGTCTGGCTGAGGCCACTTGGAAAGTAAAGGCCTTTAGCAAAGACCCGCACCTGAACACACACATTGAACACAATGAACACAGTCATGCAATACCAAAACTAGACATGCTCAACATGTCACACAAGACACTGAAAAACTACAGAAAATCAATTTTTCATTTAGACTTTATTTGAAGGATTCTCCAAAAGTAAATGGATATCGGGGGAGTTTCCTGGAAGGGTGGATGAGACGAAAGAGACGTAAAAAGGGGCTAGGGGAAATACTTAGCAGAAACACTGCTCAAGGAAAACTACAGATAAAACACACCAGGGAGAAACAGAAATCAAAACCAAGCACTTGACGTATTCCAGTTATTGCTGCCTCATACGACGCAGGACGGCATAAAGATGTTGCAATAAAAAAAGCGAAGACATTGCCTTTTTTCACTTTAATTTCAACATCCCATGCCTTCGTCTTTGCCCTCTCTTTGCCTCCCTTTCACCCCCCCCCCTCCCCCCCCTGCTTTCACCCCCCCCCCCCCTGCTTTCACCCCCCCCCCCCCCCTGTACGCACAACTCACAGACGTGACAGAGGTATTGTACCTTGTCAGTTTTCGTGTTGTACTGGAGAATACGCCCATCATCGTGAGCTGAGAACGACGCAGCAATGTTCCCATCACAGTCCCACTCTGTCCAGGGCTCACCGAGGTAGAGATGGTCGCCGACACGATATACACCCTTCAGCAGCGTGATGCGCGGTTCACCTAAATGCATACATTACAATAAAACCGGGTTTCAGCGAGAGAGAGAGAGAGAGAGAGAGAGAGAGAGAGAGAGAGAGAAAGAAAGAGAGAGATTGGTGGGTATTGCATTAGTAAAACTCACCCTCTTGGACAAGCTGCCCCACGGACAGCAGTCTTGTGACGTGCCCAGCAGGTAAGCTGATGGCTGAGAGACCATAGTGCACATCGGTGACGTACAGAGTCTGTTCATCCTCCGATATCGTCATGATCAGTGGTCTACCACACTGCGTGCCTTGAGTAGGGTATACTGTATTCACATGCACACACACATGGACACACATGGACACAGGCACATACAAACACACACGCAAACATGTACATGCATACAGACGCAAACACGTACACACACACACACAGACACACACACACAACACATACACACATACGTGCATGCGCACACATGTATACACAAGCACGTACAAACGTGCGCACACACACACACACACACACACACACAAGCACGCACATATACACACGCACATATACACACACACATTATAGGTTTCGATGCCGGTATGGCACATCATCAATAGCACATCAATCATCATCAATAGCACATGACCTGCAGAGTGGTCGATCCTGGCCGGATGTCAACCATGGAGTGTGAACACACACACACACACACACACACACACACACACACGCACACACGCACGCGCGCACACATACACACACATACACACACACGCGCGCACACACACACACACGCACACACACACACACACGTGCACACGCACACACATGCACACACACACACACGCGCGCACACACACACACACACACACACACGCTAGGCAACAAAACGAACAAAGCACACAATAGACAACATACCACATGATTCATTGCCAATGTGAGCAATGACAACAGGCTGTTGAGACTGGGTCCATTTCCATATCGCACCCTCTATCGTACCGAAGTACATCACATCTGCAGGAAAGCAAGAGCAAGCACACATGTACTGTAGGTAGGAGAATTGAACAACAAAACAAAAAAAATTCTCACACCCAGCTCTTACTGACAGGGGAGTTGGCCTTTAGCAATGCTGGTGTTGTACATGTGGCTGCGCTTGTGTCTCTTTGTTGTACATGCGGTTGCACGTGTAGCTCTTTGTCGTACATGTGGCTGCTTTTGTGTCTCTTTGTTGTACATGCTGCTGAGTTGTGGTACATGCTGCTGCGCTGTTTTTGACTCCTGCGTACATGCGGCTGCACCGTCTTCTGTCCCCGTTGGTACACACTTGCTCGTCTTGTCCCCGTTGTACGCCTTCACTATAATATATTCTGTTGTCTCGTCTTGTCTCAGTGTCAGTCGTCTGTCGTTCGTTGTCAGAGTTAGTTCTTCATTATGAGTTCTCCAGTCGCCTTCTGAAGCGAAGTAGAAGAAAAAGCTCTCTAACAATTTGTGCTAGTCCTTTGTTGTGTGGAGTGGCGAAGAGCGTAGAGGCAGTTCGTTCACGGTTCACAAACCCGTGATGACACTGGTTTGGGAGCTTGCACATCATTGTGAACCTGATGAAGGCAATTTGCCGAAACGTTGGAATAATTATTGTGAAATGACTTGAACTATTGCAGTGGTAATGGAAGAGAACGTGTAGGCTCTACTCTTAACTGAAAACAAAAAAAAGTTTCTGGAACTGTTGACTTTCACTTTATACAGATAACAATTACACACACACACACACACACACACACACACACACACACACACACACACACACACACACACACAAACACCCCCCCCCCCTCCACACACACAGGTCTGTTTCAAAAGCTTAGAATATTCAGTCTGTTTCTCTGGGTAACGGTATGAGAGGCCAGGTGGACCGTACCTTCGCTGGTGATGACAAACTGATCCGGGGAGTGCAGCAGTTTGGGATGGATGCGCTCGACATTGCTGATCTGATGCGTGGCAGGATCCAGCGATCCGGACCAGTCTACGGGCGACCCTAGACTGATTGTAACAAAAAAACAAAAAAACATCACGGTTCACTTGACACTCAGTTAGCCTGAGTTGTCAGCATCCGCAGGAACGCCACCACCCTGCAGAGATCTAAGGTGTAGATGCAGCTCCTGACGCTGTGGGAGGGGAGTAGATCAGCTCACCAGCAAAGTGGTCAAAGACCAAAAATCCCATTCACTGCATCCGTGTTTCCCTCGTAACAAAGCACAACGAAATAACAGCCACAGCAGATATGCAAGAAAACAAATGTCCGTTGCTACAAGCAAGTACGTAGCTCCACTGTTGCTCGTGATCGTACGTGAAAGTCAGCTTCAAAGTCACTCTGTCTTCCTCTGTGTGTGTGTGCGCGCGCGCGCGCGCGCGCGTGCGTGCGTGTGTGTGTGTGTCTATCTCTCTCTCTCATGCACGCACACACACATACACACACACACACACACACACACACACAAAAGCATGCCGACCGCTGAAACGATGATAGCAAACAAGCTATGTTAGACAAAGCAACTTGTGCTGCGATTGGACCACTCTACAGCTTGCAAGGCTAATGAATTGACCACCACTACACACACACGCACACACACACACCATCGGACGTCCATCGCCGGAGGCGATGATAGCGATACTACAGCAGAAGCCATAGCAGCTTGTGCTGGGATTGCACCATTCAACAGCTTGCAAGGCTGAAGAATTGACCACCACTATTCAGCCTGGTCTACACCACACAGCTATGAAGTGGCTTTTTCTGGCCAGTGAATACCTACTTTTTAGTCTTTATTTCATATTTTACACACACACACAGACACCCCCCCCCCCACACACACACAGGTGGACTGACAAGTACGAGAGCACTACACATGCAGCTACAGCGAGGCATTTACCGTATAGAGTTAGGCTTGAAGTCACCGGGTTGCAGTACATAAGCTACAAGCAATGCACATACTCCAGCATACAGGTAGACCTTGCTGGGGGCACTGTGAACACAACATAAGCACAACAACAACAACAATTATTCATAAGCAGGACGGATTGAGTCCGGTGTCTGCTCCAGAGCCGGGTCAGCTGGGTCAGCGACCCGGTTGGGGGGGGGGGGGGGGGGGGTACTTGGACTCACTTGGACAAAGAACACCGGGTCACTTGTGACCCGGTTGTACATGGCCGTTGGAGCAGTGGCACAATTGCAACTTTTGTTGTACATGTACGTGCGTGTATGTCAACATTTTTTACTTTCTGAGGGGGAGGGAGAGAGGGGTAGTAGTAGTAGTCGTAGTAGTAGTATTTTATATTGTTCTATTTATTTCCGAAATTGGGTTGTCTTTTTGCTTTGACTCTTACTTCTTGGTGTTGTGAATAAATCCGTTCTCAAGTATTTTATATTTGACTAGGAGAGTCCCAACAGGCAAGGCCTTGTTTAATACAGGGAACCCTAGGTGATGGGTCTAAACTGAAATAATTCGTTTCGTGACGGCGTTCCACTGATAAAAGTCACGGGAAAACGTTCTGGAACTTTTAAAATTAACTTTCTTCAATTTTGATGTTACGAGTGTACAATTAATCTAATCTACTGCCGTGATAGAGTAAGCACTTGTACATACACAGCTGCGCTCGGCGAAATCCGGGGACCGTAGGTGCACATTCGGCGCCCCGGACTTGCACGGCCATCGGTGCCCTGGTCGTGGTACAAATGCGGCTGGACGTACATGTACATGTTTCAAATGCAGTGACGTCACCGGAACTGATGCAGGGCACCGGCTTTGCACTTTCGGTCGGATTTCCCCGAGCGCAGCTGACTGAGTATTTTTTTTAAAAGTTTGAAGGAACACTGGGATGGTGAACTGGTGCTGGGTGCTAACTACAGTAAAACCTGTGACTAACGACCACCCCTTGGGGCCAGAGTAAGCGGTCTTTAGTGGCAGGTGGTCCTTAGTTAGAGGTTTGCACCGCACAACCATGTATGAATGTGAGACCGTCCGTGCGTGCCTGGCGAAGTGGCCTTTAGTACCAGGCTGGTCGCTAGTCACGGTGGTCTTTAGTTACAGGTTTTCCTGTACTGTAAAAGCAGAATTTTTCGGTGGTGTTTTATTTTTCGGTAACTTCGGTGCCGAAATTTTTACCGAAAACAAAACGCACCGAAAATTTCGGTATAGTACTAGTACACATACCTGGAAAGCGGGTTTACCGAAAACTTCCTTCCACCGAACCGCCATTTCGGAGAATACCGAAAATATTACACCATCGAAAATTTCTGCTTTTTACAGTACCGTAAAGTACCGTTGATCCACCCCCTCTCTAATTCCCGCCCCCTGTCGATTTTCTACCTGTGAAGCGACTTCGGCGTATACAACGAAAACACGATGTTGAACCGACGCATGCACTGCTGTACACAATATTTGCCTATCCAGGATGAAAATGTGCACAATCCAGCACATCGAGTCTGAACTTCTACGTTGTTGTACATCGTACTGCACTTGACAGCCTTGATCTAATTCCCGCTCCCTGCCGAAAACCCAGCTGGGAAGCGACATGGCGTGGGGGCGGATCAACGGTACTTTACGGTATGTACCTCGTCCGATCGGATTTCATTGAGCAGCATGCTAGCATGCACTGTACGATGTCATTTTCAGTTTACACAATTCATTATTTCCTGATTTCTTCACCGGTTTTGAATTGCATCGCATTAATCCATTGCGTTTCCTTTTGCCCATAACTGTACAATGTCATGTACATATCAAACGTTCACGCACCGGAAACCTGTGGATCTCTCTGCCAGACGCCTGTCCGTCTCGTCCAGGACTTGACCTAGGAACGCAGCCTTTGCCTGGTCCTCGTCGCGGCTCTGTGTCGATCCATCTCCAGCTCCGGTTGCCTCGCCAGCAGCTGGGCGCCGGCTCCTGCCTTTCTTCTTCTGCGATTTGGGCATAACAATTATTGTTTGCACTCAAATATTTCCGAGATTTCAAACTGCATGAAATGCAGTGCAGCGAGTGAGACCTAGTACCAGGCCTGGTAAAGGTACCCGCGGAAATGTCTCTGCAATGTCACTATTGATGAGAGCGTAGAGCCCACCTCAAGGGGGAAGAAGGGGGCAAGCGTCCACTATTACATACTGCAAGAAGCTACAATTGTAGCCAGGAACAAAACTGCAATACAGCTACCGGTACCGGTATGTCTCATTTGTGGTACCAAGAGTAGATCTACTCTTGGTGGTACTGGTAGACTCCACAAACAAGATCCAATTATTATTTTAATTTTAAAAGATCGTTTTCAAGATTACAAAAAATCAATAAAAAAACTGTCTGACGTGACCATGGTGACATGGCATGACATGTA